TGACATGACGAGTCGTAAATGGTCGGAGGAGGAGGAGGCCGTGCCTGATTCGTCTAGTAAGCTCCTCGAACGAGTGCATATCTCCCCACATCTCCCCACATCTCCCCACATCTCCCCACATCTCCGCATATCTCCCCGTAGTTAAGCTCCTCGAACGAGTGCAGCCGCGTCGCGCCCATCGCGCCCACGAGGAGCGAGATGGAGTAGTGGGTCGCGCACGCGGTCGCCGCTAGCAGGCCGAGCCCGAGCAGCAGCCCCATCTGGCTGATCGCGTACGGCAGCGAGAGGGCTCCCGCGCCGAGCGTGGCCGAGCACATGGTGAAGACGGTGCCCCAGTCCGCCCCGCCGCCCGACGCCTTTGCGGGCAGCACCGCGGGAGCCGGTAGCTGGAACGGGTCGCGGCTGTGGCCGAGCTCCGGCGACGACGTGGACTGGCGCAGCCGCTTCTGCGACTCGTCGAGCAGCGGCTCCTCGCGCAAGCCTGGGCGGCTGTCGCCCGGCATGGCCCAGTCACCCCACCTCGGTGAGCGCCGCCACTGCTCAAAGAGCGGCCGCAGGTTCGGAAGGTAGCCGCGGTGCGCGACCTCTCGCCCAAACGCCTCGCGAACCGCGAGAGTCGGCATCGAAGCGCTCGGCACGACAAAGATCAGGCCCTCCATCGCGCTCCGGCCATCCTCGGTGGGCCGCTCCGCCATCGCGGGACCGGCCTTGTTGCCTGTCGCAACGCGTGTTAGCGCGCGAGCGGTGTAATGCGGTTGGGCTCGCTCGGAAGCGCCGTTGCGTGCAAGTTTTCTTTTTTGTCTTTTTGCACGAGCTTGCTGACAGGGATTGGGATGAGGAGCGAGGTATTTTGCGATGGATGAGCGACTCACAAGGGTTTTCGGGTTCTAAGTAGGTCGGGCTCGTACTAGCAAGCAAGCACCCCACCTCGTGGTATGCCTCGACATTTCCAGTGTATGTGGTTCTCACGAACATACCCGAGAGAGAGAGAGAGAGAACACAACCTCCCTCTCCCTTTTCTCCCAGTAAGCTAAAAGCGCGTACCCGAGGGTGTTTTCTGAAATCCGGTGTACCTGTGTTAGTTCCAGTGCGCGCCAGGGTGAAATTCTGAAAAACGTGCAGCACTTCTAGCCGACATCGACAAAAGTCACTCTCTAGCCCCGCGGCGAGCGGCCCCGCCGGAGGCGAAGAAAATTTTGCCATCTAGCGCTCTCTAACACACATTTTTGCACACAAATCGACACACCTCCAAACAAGCTCAATAAGACTGGTCTTCACTGCAGCACGCCTCGAGCGAGTAATGCGTCTGTAGGCCAATATAATAGAGCTTCTCGCGCGCGCTCCTCAGCTGGCGGTCCGCAGGGCCGCCCGGGCCGGGCGAGAAGCGCAAGCCCGCCAGCCGCACCATGTGATTCACGATGATGAGCGTCTCGGCCTCGAGCAGCGTGTAGGAGCGAAGCTTGCCCTCGCACTCGCGTTGCTCGAGCCTGAGCCACTGCTTCGGTAGCCTCGAGCCGGTCGGGAGCGCGGCGCTCAGCGTCGCTCCGAGTACTGGGGCGGTCCTCGTACATGATGTACTTCTCGGAGATCTCTCCTGCCTGGCGTGCCTCCTCTTGGCGGAAGCTCGCTTCGAGCGTCGCAGCGTCCGATGCAGCAGCAGCAGAAGACTCGCCCACCGACTGATCGGTCGGTGAGTGCGCCTCGAGCACCTCCGCAAACATGTGGTGACCGCGCACCTGCGCTTCCACCGTCTCGGCGGTGAGTTCGTCGTGTTCGTCAAACTGGAAAGACTTGCGCATGATTTTCTTCTTGCCGTACCAGACCAACGTACGCGCCTTCTTACTGTCCCAAAAGAGTGATACGGGTACGTTGCCGTCGATTGGCGGCACGGAGGGGTAGGTCGGCCGACCTACCATGGTGCTCGACAAGGAAGGAGCGTGGACACGTCCGTGATATCGGTTACGCGGAGGGCTACACCGAGGTCTCTGCGCGGGATGTGCTGGGGGGCTGCCCCCCAGTCGATTGCCGCATAGTTCGTCGATGTAGCCCTATCATAAACCTCTTATTCACACCTTGCACTTTAAAAAAAGAAATATCCCCAGTTTGTCGAAGATCCGGAGGGTTTATCGGAGCATCACCCGCCAGTCCCGTGCCCAGTGTCGTGCGATGTAAAATTCTGAAGCTACTTTACTTTTACGAACTCGCCAAGTTTTCGGTCGGCTCCGTCCTCTCCGGCCCAGGCTGTTTTGCTTGCTCATTCCGGATGGCGATGTTTTTGCACAAGAGCGCGGGCGATCAGGGCAATCTGGACAATACGCGCAAGGCTGCGGCCGCCGTCGTGGCCGAGCGCTGGGCGGCTCAGATAAGGAAACTGGCTGAGTCGGACGCGCGTGCCGGAGAGGCTGAGGCGACGCTGAAAGACATCGCCGCCCTCATCCCCTCCTCCTACCCTTGCGACATTCCGCTGCGGATGCGAGTAGTGGCACTCGCGGCAGCTGCTGCAAAAGGCGAGGCGGAAACCTCGCGACTCCGCGCTGAGCTCCAGCAGGCAGCATCTGCCCAAGAGGCAGCTGAGGCCGCCCTGGCTGCAGCGGAGGAGGCTGCGGTGGCCGCTGCGGCCGCTGCGGCCGAGAAGGACGTGCCGAGCTGGTTGCGCGGTGCCGAGGCGATGCTCAACGGCAGCGCTGGGGATGGTGGGGGCCGCGAGCTGTGGGCCGCCGCGGTGATCTCACGGCTGGCGAGAAGATGGCTATCTGGCTTCCGGCGGCGTCTGGCGGTGCGCGCCCCTAGCGTGAGCCCCTGGCGGGGGGCGGGAGGCGCGTCCATCCCATCCGGGCCATTGACCCCCTGCCCCCCTTCTCCGTCGTAGAGGGCGCTCGTTGAGGCGAAGCTGAGGATTGCCGAACTGGAGTTTGAGGCCGATGAGGCCCGAGGCGCGGCTCGCAAGCTCGCAGGCGATGTTTCGGGTCGAGAGTCGGGTCAGAGCACGCCCAAACGGCGCGGCAGGAGCAGCAGAGGCAGCCAGGCCAAGAGTGGCAATTAGCACGGCGATCGAGCACGGCTAGACGGGCCCACGAGGAAGAGGGGGAGCTCCCACCGCGCCGTGAAGCCATCATAAAGGAGGTAGTTATCAGAAAATCTGCCACGCCCGCACCAAGGACACCCTCGTCGGACGCCACAGGCGGCCGGCCACTCGAGGCCGCCACAGGGCTCAGGGAACCCGCCCTGGCGAACCCGCCCCGGCCCGTCGACCAAGGGCCGTCATCCAGCCGTCCGCAAACGATTGCGACGACATATGCGGACCGTCGTCGGCCTGATCGCCGTGCTGGCGCCCCTCGTGGGCGCCTCGGCCGGGTGTGAGGAGTGCTGCTCTCCGGGCGGCTCGTGCGACCACGCCTTCAAGCAGTCCCCGGGCATCTGCTGCGGCGTCGAAGAGTCGACGTCGATGTGCTGCCCAGCTACTGCAAACTGCTTTCGCTGCGTCTCCGGGATGTACCGCTGCTACGCCCAGCACGCCGAGCCATCCTGCGCAATCTGTGGTGCCGCCGGCGACCCTCGGCCACAGTGCAGCGCTTCTCATGGCGGCGGCGGCGGCGGCAGCGGCGGCATGCTTCTCGGTGGCTTTGCCCTGGTGCTGCTCTGCTGCTTCTGCTGCTCCAGGATGCGAGGGCCCGACCCAAGCGACTACTACCCGGCCGCAGTGCCTGCCCCGGGCGCCTACAACCAGCAGGCAGCGCCATACTACCAGCAGGCGGGGCCCTACCCGACCGGCGGCATCCCTGAAGGCCTGCCTGTGGCACCCGAAGGGCAGCCGCCCGGGTATGGGGCGCCGGGCTACTACGGGGCGCCGCCGCCCGCAGCCCCGCCCGGCTACGGATATCCGGGCGGAGGCTACCCCCAGCAGCCATACGAGGTCCACCAAGAGGGCTATTCTGGCGGCGCTGTGGCGGCAAGTGCAGGCGCGGGCTTCATCGGTGGCATCCTCGCCGACCGCGCGGCGCAGGCCGTCTTCGGAGGAGGGGGCGAAGGAGGGGGCAGCGGTGCCGTCCCTGCAACCGCCACCTACGCCGACGCTGGCTTTGCCGCAGACACGGGCGGAGGCGACGGTGAAGCGGGCGAGTTCATTGAGGCCGACGGGGGCGATGAGTTTGACGCGGAGTAGACGCGAAGTGGTGGGAGGCGTGGCCACCCGCTCCTGAGAGGGCGCGACTCGCACTGCGGTATCTCGGCGTCGAGCGCATCTGAGAGAGGAGGCGCACGGGCACCGGCGTCAGGCACTCACACACGATCACATATGAGCGTGAGCGTGGCTGTGGGTCGGCCCAGTGCGGGGAGGCGCGCAAGCTTGCCGTGTCCCCGCCCTGCGGCAGTGTGGTAGTGGTCGCCGCGCCGAGATGGCGTCGCGCCGTTCATTAAGCCTCTAGTTCGGGACTCGAGCTTCATGTGCTCCGCGCCGAACATCCTGAAATTCTGCATCAAATCATAAAAACCTGACCGGCCCCTGCGGTGCCCCTACCTACCTACCTACCTACCTACCCTCCGGGAAACTAAAAATCAAGGGTCAAAAAAGAAATACACCTGGCTCCCAGCATCCGCCCCAACCACACAACGACCAGCCGTCGAGCAAGGGCTGCTGACCCGCCGTGAGAGCCGGCATGGCTGCGGTCTCTCCGGAATGGCTCAGCGAGCTCGGCTCCGAGGCTCCCACAGAGGCGCAATGGGAGCTAATCGAGCGCGTCTTCTTTGCACCGCGTGGCTTCTTCGCCGATCAGACCGACGCGAGGGCCGCGGCCGCGTCGTTTCGAGAATTCTACACGCAGTTCATTCATCGCCGCGCGAATCAGAGGCGGGCCAAGGCACCGGAGCACGGCGGCGGCGGCGGCGGCGGCGGCGGCGTGCCGGCCGAGCGATGCAGCCTGAACCTCCCGCGCAGCTACGATCCGCAGTACAAACTAAACTTTTCGATCCTCGACCCTGCGGGCTCGGCCAGCGACCCTCACGGCCTCGACCGACCCGAGGTTTCCGCCGCCGCTGCTCGCGTCGGCCTCCGCCGCGAGAGGCTCAAGGCTGTGCGGCTGCTCTTTCACATGCACGAGGACTTTGCGCAGAAGAAGAGCCTCGCCGCCCTCCGCAAGAGCGCCGCCGACCGCGCGGCTCTCCCGGTGACGCTTCCGAGAAGCTTCCAACGCCAACGCCAACGCCGCACACCCGCGCGCCACCCGCGCGCCAGCTCGCTTACGCACCGCCACGACGCTTTCGACAACGACATTGCGACATTGCCCTCCGCCACCACCCGAGCGCACCTCCCAGTCTCCTCACCCCGTACCCACCTCTCCTCCCCT